AATTGCTCCATGATCTTTCCATGTTATCTCTTCGACCAAGTTCACCATCCAAGTTGTTTGACATGCACAAAGAGAAGCAGTTATGTATTCTGCTTCGCATGATGATAATTCCACTACTGGTTCCTTTCTTGAACTCCAAGCAATTGGTGCACCTCCTAACATAAACACATATCCTGCTGTTGATTTTCGATCTTCAGCATCACTACACCAACTCGAATCAGTGTATCCCACTAACTTGCATTCTTTTACTTTATCAGCTGCAGGAAACAAAATTCCATAGTCGAGAGTTCCTTTGAGATACCTCAGTATCCTCTTCACCGTGGCTAGATGTGATACTTTTGGCTTCTGCATGAATCTACTTACCATACCTACACTATATGTTAAGTAAAGCCTTGTATGACAAATGTATCTCAATGACTCAATAATTCTTCTGTATTGGGTTGGGTCTACATCATCTTCATCTGCATCTTTCGACAGTTGCAGTCTTGGTTTTGCAGGTGTTGAAGTTGAGTTGCATTCTTCCATCTCAAATCTCTTGAGAATTTCTCCTGCATGTCATCTTTGATGCATCATCAAACCTCTACTGCTCTTATAGAATTCGATGCCAAGGAAATATGAAATCTCACCCAGATCAAACATTTTGAATTCCTTGCTGAGATACCTTTGAAGTCTTTGTTCTCACTTTTGCAGCTACCTGTTATCAACAAATCATCGACATAGAGACATAGTATAAGAAATTCACTATTGCTTCTTCTTACATATACTCCATGCTCAGTTGTGCACTTCACAAATTCCTTCTCCCTTAGGAAACTATCAATTTTCTTATTCCAAGCTCTTGGAGCTTGTTTCAATCCATACATGGCTTTATGCAGCCTATACACCTTTCTCTCTTCGTCACGTTTCACAAACCCAACTGGTTGTTTAACATAAACTTCTTCGTCTAAGGGTCCATTCAGGAATACACACTTCACGTCCATCTGACATATGTGTCATCTATTTATTTCTGCTAGACCAATAACCAACCTGATTATTTCGATCCTGGAAATAGGTGCAAAAACTTCATCGAAGTTTATTCCTTCTTTTTGTAGAAATCCTTTCGCCACAAGCCTTGTTTTATGTCGATTTAATTCCCCTTTCAAATTCATTTTCACTTTGTATACCCACTTGACATCAACTGCCTTCTTTCCTTGAGGCAATTCAACAAGTGACCAAGTATTGTTGTATTCGATAGACTTCACTTCTTCGTTCATTGCTTTCACCCACTTCAAATCCTTCAATGCTTCAGCTGCATTGACAGGTTCAACATCTGCATAGAAATTATAATGTACCAATTCACATTCATTATCTATCACATCATCTGATGAAATCACACAATTCTACAATCTTGCAGGCATGCGTCTTGTTCTTTGAGGCCTGCTTGTACTTGGTTGATCTATAGTTGCTGGTTCCTCTTGTCGAACTTCTCTTTCGACTTGAGTTTCCGATTCTTCAAGTAGGATTCCAACTGAATCTTTCTTGATATTTTCAGTCCAATACCATTCTTTAAGCTCATCTATGATCACGTCCCTACTGATCACAATCTACTTGTTCACTGGGTCGAACAACTTGTAACCTCCTGTCGAATGATATCCAACTAGAATCATTTGACTTGACTTGTCATAAAGTTTTCTTCTCAATTGATCTGGCACATGTCTACGTACAATAGATCCAAATACCTTCAGATGACTTAAGCTAGGCTTCACACCATACCAATGTTCTTATGGAGTAATTCCTTCTAGCTTCTTCGTAGGACATCTGTTCAAAATGTATGTTGTAGTCGAAACAGCTTCATCTCAAAACTCTTTAGATAAATTCTTGCCTTTCAAGATACTTCTCACCATATTCATGATGGTTCGATTCTTCCTTTATGTAGTTCCATTATGTTGTGGAGTATAGGGTGGCACCACCTCATGCACAATCCCTTTCTTTTCACATAACCTGTCGAAGTATTTCAACACATACTCTCCACCACCATCAGTTCTTAAAACTTTGAGTTTTCAACCACTTTGTCTTTCGACCATAGACTTAAACTTGGCAAATACCTCAATCACTTCACTTTTCTTCTTGATCAGGTAAGTCTACAACTTTTGACTGAAATCACCTATGAATGTAACAAAGTATTTGTTACCTCCCATCGAATCCACCTGGATTGGTCCATATACATCATAGTACATAACTTCAAGAATAGCCTTCGACCTGCTTCCTGCATCCTTGCTGAAGCTATTCTTGTACTGCTTCGCCTATACACATTCCTCACATACCTTATTTGGAATGTCGATTTTTGGAAATCCTGAAACCATATTTCTTCTCTTCAAATCTCTGATGTCTCTGAAGTTGAGATGGCCTAGTCTATAATACCATATCCATTCATCTCTGCTAGATGCATTTGAAAGACACTTGTGCTCCATCACATTTAGTTTGATCTTGAAGGTTCTATTTTGAGACATAGGAGCCTTCAAGATTAATCTTCCATTTGCATCGACGACTCTCGTCATCTTATCTTTGATCGAAACTTTATAATTATTTTCGACCAACTGCCGTATACTGAGCAAATTGCTCTTCATGCCTAGTATGTAAAACACATTGGAAATTACTGACCTCTTGCCATCTTTCCTCATAATCATAACATCACTAATACCTTCAGCTGCTAGGGTATTGTCATTTGCGAATTTTATCATATTTTTCATTGAGGGCTTTATGTTGAAAAATCAGTCTTTCCTTCTAGACATATGTGATGAACATCCTGAATCCAAGTACCATTGGTCCTTGAATCTATCTTCATCTCTTATTGTGACCATCAACATCATCTCCTCTTCTTCATGTTTTGCAAACTTTGCATCACTTTCTTGATTCTTTTGTTTTTTTGGACAATCACTCGAATAGTGAACATACTTCTAACAATTGTAATATTGAACGTGACTCTTATCAGGTTTGCAACACCACCTCTTTGGTTGCCTTGGTATGTTCTTCTTCGATTCAACACGTTTCCTTCGTTCTGGTTTCCTCTACCATTCGATTTATTCTAGCCGCCTCTACCTCTGTCGAACCATTTTCCTTTGCCTTTGGTTTCTTTTGTTGAATGTGTCTACAAAGCCACATCACTCTTCGATTTTCCTGCAGCTCTTTTAGCCATTCTTTGTTCATGAGATTCAAGCTTCCCTTGAAGCTCTTCCTTTGTCAATTTCGACAAGTCTTTCCCCTCTTCTATAGCCACCACTATGTGGTCGAACTTAGGAGCCAAAGATCTCAAGATTTTCGAAACAATAACTCTTGTTGTTAATGTTTCTCCACATACCTTGATTTGATTCACTAGTTTTATAACCCTAGTGAAGAAATCAGATATGCTCTCACTATCTTCCATCTGAAGCAATTCATACGTTCTCTTGTGAGTTTGTAACCTCACTTATTTCACCTTTCTTGCACCACCAAAAGACTTCTCAAGCTTCTTTTGCAGATACTAAATCACTTACTTTTTCAAAATTTTCTGGACTCACACATTGATGAATTATAAAGAGTTCTTTTATAACTCAACTTCTCAATTTATGTGTGTTTCTTCTTTTCTTCTTCTGAAGCATTTTCTCCAAGCGCTTCGAATCCATCTTTTACAAGATCCCAAAGACCTTGACACCTGAACAAAACTTTCATCTGTTTGCACTAATTATCATAGTTGTCTACTTTCAGAATTGGCAGAGTTGCTGGATAATTTACATTCTCATAATTCACCATCATGATTTCTTTTTCTTCCTCAACCGTTCTTGATCGATACTTCTTTTAAATCGATCAACCGAGCTCTCGATATCAGATGTTGGAAATCCACCAAATTTCTATGATGGATTTCTACCAATCTTTGATGAACAAGATTGATATCACCACACAATGACAATGAATTATGAGAAAAGAAAAGAAAATAAAGAAGATAATTATTTTCTACAGAATTTCTCAATTTCCCTCTGCCCACAAACTGTGGAAAACTTTATTATTCACTTTGCAACTGCAAAATACTGTGAATGACTTAATTGATTTGATTACAAAATTATGGATTACTCCCTCTATTTATAGATTTAGCTTGCTCCCTAAGTCCAAAATTATAAAAACCCAAAATAACTATTTTGGTACTAAATCAAATCTATTTTTTTTTAAACTTAAATCAAATCTATCTAAATCTAAAATAAATCTAATCTGTGTGCAACTTGTTTCGATCCACAAACTCTTCAAATGTGCATTGACTTCTTTCGAACAACCTGTTTTGATTCACCTCTAAACTCTTCGACACACATAATTTCGATACTATGAATTACAATTTAGCACTCGTTAGGATTTATACAAGTTTTAATTCCTTTATTCTATGATCGAAAATGGTGCTTTTTAGGGAAGTTCCATGCTTGCTCCCCTTGTCTTATAACCTTCTGCTTGAAGTTATATTCATGACGTCCTCGGTCTGATGTCACCCTTTTAGGGGTTACCCAGTCTATCTCTCGTGGGGCCAAGACAAGTTAAAATCAACCATGATCCAGGTCCATGGGTTGTTATGCTCACATGCCAATTTCACCCCTGCCTCAACCCATGTAGGAACAATTTTGGGTATTAGACACGCTGCTCAATTTCTCTTTCACGGTTAAAAAAACAAACACACCCGTGTTCACCTACCTCCTCCTATTCGCTCGGGTAACTATCTTCACTTTCATTGTTTCTCTATTCTTACATTATTCCACACATCATTATCAAACCCTAAGGGGGGCATGTACACTAGATTTAGGGTTTCTTTGAATTTCTTGTAGAAATTGTTTCAATTCATCCAATGTTGCCCTTTTGTTGCCATAGCTGTTATCATTTAAACATGTTGTAAATACTGTCAATGCATGCTTTACTTTAATGCATGCATAGATATTCCTTAAGATATCAATTTTTACCCTAAAATTGATTGTTTCTCTCAAAAGGGGATTTCTTCTAGTTAAATGAAAATGAAGCGTGCTTCACTCAAGTTTAACCCGGTTGATTCTCATGCGAGTGAGAATTCGCAAAGTTCTAATCTTGATGATAAAAGAATAAGGTTAGAAAGGCGATGGAGGAGACGGGAGATCACGGTTGATAGTTTGAAGCACACTCGTGGCGCTAGTGCTACAAAGACAATTTTAAGAGATACAAATGATCATATGAGAGATGATCAAGTAGATGAAGAATGGAAAACATTTTTTGCTACATATACTAGTGATAATGATGAGGAATTGGATGAAGATTACTGCTCCTTTTGGGCTACATTTAATTCTAATATTGAAACTGGTTCTGCTAGTAATCATAGTGGTGGTTCAAACATTGACATTGATGAAAGTCATGAAACAGATGAAGAATACGTATCTTTTTTAGCTGCATATGATCTTGATTTTGAAAATGACAGTGCTGGTAATCAAAGTGGTGGTTCAAATGTTGACGTCAACTTTGGCAACAACAATGCCAGTGAGGAAATAGAAGAAGGCGACAATTGTTTTTCGAATCAATTTGTTTCTGATTATATTAGCAACGGGGTTGGTGTTGATGAAGATGATCAGTTACTAAGAAAAAGTTCTAGTGTTGGGCAAAATTCACTAGTTTCTGAACAAGACACTCCTGAAGTGCAATGTGTTGTTGATGAAGATTACGAACAATTCCTTAATTCTGGGTCAGTTGTTGATGGTGATTTTGTGTATGGTTGTGATGAGAATACCAAAAACACATCCAATGTGGAGAATGAGAGTACCAAAAACACATCCAATGTGGAGGATGAGAGTAATTCCTCTGATTCAGATCTAATTGTTTTGGAATCTTATCCAAACTGTGAAAACACCCCTTTCGTATCTTCAAAGGCATATGATCCATCTGTAAGTGTCTTCAACTTCTCGCAATGTATATGTAATGGTCATATTTTACAAATGGTCCAAAAACATACACATTATTCAAAAACTTATTTTATTTTTATGATATGTGTGTTTAGTGTTTTGGAGAAGAAATGCACCCCGAAGACAACATGCAAACGACTTCTTTTTTTCATTCTCAATTTCGGAAAAGACTTATGGAATATCTTGATAGACCTTATGACTATCAAGAGTATAAATCTCTTCTTGTTCAAGCATATGAACGAAAGGTAAGGGAACGCCATTTAGAAACACGGCGGGGTGTGATTAGGTCATATCGCTCTGTAGGTGTCTCCAAATCGTATCTTCAAGTGCACTCTGGTAGGTCCATATTTTTTCAAGTATTATGACTTCTTATATTTTCTTCTTTCATATATAAAAAATGGTAGCATAAAGTTTGGTCCTAAATAAGCAATCAAGATCGAATGCTCTCGGTTCCGTCCTCACTGCTAGCGATAAAAAACTCTTACCTTATGTACTGCATGAACCAACCAAAACTTAGTTGATTTATATGGTTTAAGAGTTAGAGGGTGTTATACACTTTTTGCATAAAAACCTGAAACTATCTCCTATTGATGTATATTTTCATCATATTTTGATGGTTGTTTGTGTTTGTTAAAATTTTGAACAGTACTGTTTGTCTAAAATTTTAATGTGGGGGGTTCAGTTGAGAGTGTTATTTCCAAAACAAAGGGTCGGAGTACTTTAGAGCCTCGTGAATAAATGTAATTTGTTCATGAACTTTTTACTATTAGTTAATTTATTATTATTGAACCCAATATATGACAGTAGAGGAATATTTGATTTTTCTGTAGTCAAGGTAGTGTTCATGGTACCTTTTAAGCGCGAGCTCATTATGTGACTGAGGACTGATTTCTAATCATCCGTATATTTGGGTTAGATTTTGCTGAAAGAACATAAGATCGATCTATATATTCCATTTTGTGGTCTGTGCAAGTTTTTTTGGTAGCTTTTACTTTTGGATTTTCAACTTTTATTCTTGTTATCGCTCAATTCTTTCTATGTTCAATCTGAATTCAGGCCTCTATCAAATATTTGTTTCATAATTGTGCAGATTTAACCGAAGCTATTGTCATGGAGTCCAAGAAAAAGCCTAGGGTTTTGTTTCTCTTGCGTGGATTATTTTTCTGGTTAGAAGTAAGTCAATAGATTCATGGTAACATTATATCCTGTACTAGATCATGAATGTGTAGATTCATTTTAATTATGATTATTTTCGTGACGTAGCATAAACTTTTCATGGAATTCACTTGATTATTGTACAGTTTTGTTTGGTGCATTGTTTCATAATTCAGCATTGAATGATTTTGTTTCTAAGACCGGTGAATATGTGGGTTAATTGTATGCATCTTTTGCCAACTATCGTGATATGCTTATGAATATATTGATAGTTTTTCTGTCCATTTTTGCAGAACCTATCCCATGAAGGACAATTTCAGCCTTGGCGTGACGAATCATGTCTGGAGATTATGCGAAAAATGTAAAAATGGAATCTTGTTACTCCCTCCAGAATGAAGTATTGTCAAAATTTGTATGTGAAATGTTATGTATCTGGTCTTTTAATTAAGAGAATCTAGGATTTGGAAGCAATGCATTTTGAATCTGCACAGACAACAATGTTGATGTGCATTTAAACTTGTCACTGAACTATGACACATTATGCTGTAGCTGGTTGTTGAAGTTACTTTCTCATTGTCTCTTAGAGGAAGAAAACCACATATCTGTGTTTTTTCTTTATATATTTTTTTTTCAATTCCTTGCTTTTCATTTTTAGTCTCTTTTGCTGCACCGGTAAGAATAAGAAGATGATACGATTAGAATAAGCATTTCTAGAGAGAGATGCTCCTCCTTCTCTCTAGAAAACTTTCCCACAATCCTTTAGGGTTTGGTGGCTACCTTCCACCTCCACGTTGACCCTCTTCCACCTTTATGGTGGCCATCTCTCCCTCTCTTAAGAGTACTTTTCTCTCCATTCATCTTCATTATCATGTCCTCACCACAACCATTATCATGTCCTCACCACAACCAAGCATTTCATCGGACATCTCCACTCTCCACCACGAACAATCGTCGAGGCTTCCTTTCTCTTTTTGCGGCCGCCACCGGAGCCACCACCACCAAGGAATGATAGTTTTGTTGAAGGTTTTCTGCACACCTCAAACTCAACAATGATGGATGCACCTCTCTTCATTGTAATCGCTCCTTTGATGTTGACATTTGTCTGTCCACCCCTGAAGCTGCCATGATTGTTTTATAGTAAGAAATTATCTCTGTTTTCGTTTTTAAGGTTTAAGAATGTACTCTTGGTGTTTGACAAAATACCTCATAAGCTTATGTGTTCAACATTTATTACAATACTGTCTCTTACCTATTAATTTGTGAACACTTGAGAAACTTGAACAATATTGAGACTAAAGATAGTCGAAATGTGCAAACACAAATCAAAGAAATCATTCATAATTGGATTTGAAAATATTGTTGCTTTTGGTTTGATTGTGCCTTAGTTTGTGAACAATCTATGTTTAATGTCTTTTATGACTATGTAGTATTGTCTCTTATTTCTAGGTTATAGGTTATGTATGGAGTATGTTCCATTTCAATTGACTATTTGTAATTCTTGTTGGTTTGACTATTAATGAAGCTATATTTTACTTTAAAAAAAAAAAAGAAAAGAATAAGAGGATGATTACTAGAGCATATTGATGATTAGACTAGAGTAAATGTCTAAACCAACCTTAATAAAACCAAATAAGAAACTCTATTTAGGCTCTGAAATATATCTCTACAAAATACTTACAAAATAAATTTAAATGATTAGTTTTACATTTCATATTTTTGAAAGTCAAACAAATTCTGTCAATTTTTTAGACATTGGAGACTAAATTAGTCTCTTTTTTTTTTCCTAGAGACTAAATTGAGTCTTTCTGCTATTAAATCTTGCTCAAGCTCCTCAAATAGCCACTTAATAGCATTTCAGATCTACCAAACCAGAAACTTTTTAATGTAACGTGCAATATCAATGTTTTAAAAACCAGTCCGATGATTGATCAAGTGAGGGTATTGCGTTGCACATCAAATCACTTATTGAATCACATGATGTTTATCTTGGTTGCGTGTTGAATCGGGGAGAGGAGTAACTAAAGAGTAAAGGTTAAAGGTGTGAGATATGCAAACATAGAATGACATTAAAACTGATTACATATGCAACACAAGTTCACAACATAATAATTTCCTTTTTTACAATGCACCAATGTTCTTAAGACCAAGAACAACACCAACACCAATGATGTGTCCAACTGTTCCACAAGCCAAAGTATCAGCAAGGGTGAATCCAGCTGGGTCACCAGTCTGCAAACCTGAGTCCCTTGCCTCCAGCTTTAGTCCAGCAGTTGCTTTCCTGTTTGCTGAGGGAGCCAATCCAAATCTTCCAGCAAACAACATTAGGGTTGTAGATGCCACCATAATCTGCACAACATTAGTTTCTTGAAAATCATTTTCTTTTGTCTAGTAGCCTAGTGGCCAGAGTATCACCTCTTAAAGGTGAATAAATGAGATGTCGCGGGTTCAAACCCGCGCTCATGCATCCGATGTCTCTGTATAGTTACCAACTGGACTGCCTTAAAGGAATTACTTGAAAATCATTTTGTAATAGTGAAAAGAATAAAAACATTGGAATGGATCTGGTCCTTGAGATCTTACCACATTGGTGGATGAACCAATGAAGTCACAACGAACTCCCAAAGCACCCTTCCCCTTGCGCTTTGTCATAGATTGGGAAGCAACCTGTGCATATAGAGTGATAACGTAGTATTTTAACAAAGTATAACAAAAGAATGGAAATTTTATGTAAATGAAAAGGTAGTTAATTACCAAACCCTGCACAGGAGAAGGTTTCAATTGTGGTCTAAGACCAGAGAATTGTGGGAAAGTTGTCATCATAGAGGTTGCCATTTCTTCAAGCTATGAGAGCAAATGAAAAATAATTTGAATCACTTTTTCTTGCTATATTTGAGCTTCACACAGTTTTTCAAGGTTTATGATAATGATATTATGATGTAGCAAGTAAACAGAATCTAATATTAGCCACCAAAGTAACTTGTGGCTTCAGAATGTTGATATTAGATGGCCATAGATATGTTACTCCAACGTGGCATTATCTGATTTGATTTCATTTTGTGGGATTGGATAATGTCTTAGCTCCTCGTTTGTTTCATATCTGACCTGTACATGCATCCATTTTATATGTATTTTGAGCAATTTGTTTATTTTGTAGCACCATAGTTTCAATCTAAATTTTAATAATATTATAAAATGATTTTTGAAATTGAAAATTATTAATTAAGTGTGTGTATCTCTTTGAATCTATTTATCAAATGTACTTATAAAATTATTTATTTAATTTCAGTTTTATCTCTAACATTAACATAATGTTTATAACTAAGTTGATTTAAGAAGAATAACTCGTAATTACTTCGGTAATAATTAAAAGATATGAGTAATTTTGTTTTAGTATTTATTACATGTGTTGCAGACAATAATATTTGTTTAGAACAACCATTTTGTATTGTAATCTATCCCAAAGTTAAACGGCTTATCATCAATTAAGCAAGATTGTTGAGAATATTTGAAGTGGTTTTGTTCCTCAATAGATTGTCGAGAAGTTTTTGAACAATAATTTGGCTAAAACAAAAACTTTACAGAGTGTTTGTGTCAATTGAAGAAAGAGACAAAAGTCAGAGAGCAAAAACAATAATTGATTCCTATAAATTTAGTAAATTCAAACATGACATACATTAACTATTAGGAAATCTTTGTCATTATATCCAATGCCAGTCTTCCCATTTATTTCAATATCAATAGAAGGAAAGGACAACTGAATCAACAAAGGAAAAAGAAGCAGACCAAAATAAGACCTCCATATTTTAATGCTTCCACCACCCTTCTCCCTTTCTCCACCCTTCTCGGTTTTTCATTTCTCAGTGTTTCCTCTAGAATCAATTTACATGAATGCTAATCCCCGGACAAGCAAACAATATGAAACAAACTATGTATATAAAACAAAAACATCACTAGTTAGCAAACGGCTAAAATGCAAACCAAGAGAGTTTTTACATGCTACCAGCTCGACCTGGAGATGCTTTTGGCTTCACTTTTGCCATGTTCACAAGGTCCCCAAATAACTTATCCTCTGGCTTGGATGGCTTCCCCGATGGAACATAAGATGTAGAACCCTGATTAGAGTTTCGCAAATAATTATCGTCTCTTACAGACATTCCATGCATTTGCTGCTCAATGTATGGAACTCTGTGTTGTTGTTGTTGTTGTTGACCGTAGCCATAACCTACATATTGGTTTCCATACATCTGTTGTGGATACATGGAAACTGCAGGACCACTTTGCATTTGATGTGAAGCCATACCCATGTAGTGCCCTGCACCACCTTGCATGTGCTGAGGGTGCATGCCTAATTGATTGCTTCCAAAATGGCTATTGTTTGCTGACATATGGTTGTTCGCATTCGGCTGCATATACATACCACCAGCCTGGCCATAATCCATTGCTTGATGCATTTGATGATTTGCAGCACTTTGTACATGTGTTGTAGCCATATGACTGACTTGCGGTGGTTGTGGATACTGGGCACCTGCTAGCTGACTGCCATTGTCAGCCGGTTGAGATTCCCACGGAGGTGGCGGCAATGATCCACTACTTTGCGCACCTATCAAACCAAAAAAAGAGTGATAAATTGAAGCCTGAAATACAAAAGCACAAACCCTATACAGTTAAATTCTCAATCCATCCACCCAACATATCACTGACAGTAAGTGATGAAGGGTTAAAACCGGGGTCTTACCATTTTTCCATGAACAAACTAAAAAACATTTTTCTGAAAGAGAATATAATTTTGAAGGAATTCTTCCAAATATGAATGATATATTTAAATCAGATGAAGAAATATTACCATAAGGAGAAGCTGGCTGTTGTGGTTCTGCAACCTGACCATTCCAGGAAGGACCTGTACTTTGTGTATGCAGTGATTGTTCATACTGAGAACCAGAATTTGGCGCATTTCTATTGGGAATCTGACCATTCCAGGCAGGACCTGTACTTTGTGTGTGCAGTGATTGCTCATACTGAGGTGAACCAGCATTTGGCACACTTCCATTGGGGTAAAAACCACCTTGAGATATGAATGTCTGCTGTTGTTGAAATTGAGGAGTAAATGGACCAGATTGGCCAGCAACATTAGTTTGCTGGGTTAGCTGGGTATTGACAGGCGTGGATGCATTGTCTCCATTAGAAAACATATCAAAAAGAACAAGGGCGTTCTGATCAGATACAGGACTGGCAGCATGTTGTTCTCCCAGAGGAACAAGAGCAAGCGAAGTATCTGCTTTTGGAGAATCATAGGTATCACCACTGAGAAGGTCCCACTTGGGATCAACTTTGGCAGGTACAGCAGAACCATTAGATGTAGCTGACGCGGGAAGCATTAACTGATTCAATGTTTGAGAGCCTGCTTCAGCACCAGAAGAAGACCTGCACATATATGTAGGTAAATGTATATGGTAAGAGCCATAGCCATCAAACTAGTTGGGTTAAGTTGAAAATATTTCTTACAGCTATCTGTTACAACCCGTTCATACATAAAATGACAAATGTAAGCATGCAGCAGGAATTTGAGTCTGGCCTAACTCATTCCTATAAAACCGACTTGTAAGGCGAGGGATGTCACTCTTTATAAACTCTTTTCAGTAACTTTGATTGTCTTGTATAAAATATCTCAAGTGCAACAGCCTCTATGATACACACAAATTATCGAGGTAAATCATATTAATGACTAAAACTAAACTATTCAAAGGAACGTAACATCACCAAATTCTAAAGAAAGCTAGATAAAAATCAATTTCAATCTATATGTCCATATCTGATAGATAAACTTACTCTTAACATCAAAGTTACCACTCCACTAAAAAATAACATGAACAAGTTGCCCGGACAAACATTAGTTATTTCAAATAGTACACTTCTCTATGCCAATAAACTAGCAAAGAGTTATGAATCAAATAGGTTCTCATAATGTGAAATGAATAGTAACATGTCAATGAATGCAGATATTATACATGAGCAAATCAATAATGTGAAAAAAAAGACAGGCAGATTACCTCCCATCAGTTTGTTTGCCAGTATCTCCAGTATCAACCAATGGGGCATCAACATCTACAAGTGGCCCAGCAGGTGCAGGTTTTGAATTCTCTAAGTGATTTCCATTTTTACTAGAAAGTCCTGACAAAAAAGATTCATGCCTGGCAAGTAGACGCTGCAGATCATCATTGAGAGCTAGTCCTTGGCATAGCAATGATTCATCCCTGGAAAAATATGGAGAAAACACCATAATAAAATACTGATTACATTCTTTATATACAACAGCAACAACCCAGTCTTATCTCCCACTAAGTGGGGTCAACGACATGGATCAACTTCTGTCATGTTCTATCCAGGACATGCTTCTTACGTTCTTTATATAAAAAGATAAATTTTACTAAGTGTTTAGAGTCCCACGTTTGATGAGGTATGATCTGAAAATGGGTTAATAAGTGAGACACCCCTCACTTTAGAAGCCAATTTTGTAGGATTGAGTTAGACTCAACTCAAATTCTAAGATGGTATCAGAGTCTATCAAAGATCCGTCGGGCCACCTCTAGTCCTAGGCATGCGTGCGGGTTGAGATTTTCATGTCGGATGGGATATGACTTTATAGAGTGTTTTTAAGTGGAACACATCTCTCACCTTACAAATTGGTTTTGTAGGGTTGGGTTGGGCCAACCCGAACTTTAAGTCTAAGAATACAATTAACATGAATCCAGCATATATAGAATATCATTATGCGGTCCTCGATCATTATAACAGATAGGACAGTAGGCCCACATTCAAATGAAGAAAGAAGCCCAGAAGGGAAAACAGACCAAGTGGCAGGTACTGGCCCAGAAAAGGAAGGACTCAGTGTGGAATGTTTACAGTAGGAGGCTTAGTTAGCATTCCTGGACGTGCATATTTAAAAGGGGGGAACTCCAGGAATGCTTAGTTAGCATATATGGCAAGTTGTTTGGTTTGTTGAGAGAATTGCTCACCAGGATATAAGGGGCACGTGTGTTAGAGAGAGATAAGAGCCTAAGAGGGGGGTATCCTTTTCAGTATTCATGTAAGCTTGGCCTAAGGAGTCGAGCAACTGCTCTGGTGTTCTTGTAAGCTCTTGGAATTTCGATAAAAATCTCAGCAATCAAACTATCACTTGATAGAAAGGGATTTGAGGCCTTACGTAGTTGAGTTTACAAGGTGTACCACTCTCTGCTTGTATGTTCTACATTGCTCTACCAAATCAACAACAACCTCCTGTCTAAGCCCCTGAAATAGAAAACAAAGGACATACATCAGATGTTAAAAGGAAAGCATATTTAGACTATAAGAACAAGTTCATAAGGGATGGTAGGAATGCTTTGGCATTAGTTGACACTGTAACATTGTTTACAAAGCAGCAAATACTTTACAATTCGGCAATTGCAAACTGCTTAGAGTGATAAACCTTCTAAGGATTCAAAATAAAGTATCACATTGTTTGGCAGTCACGAAAACCTGATTTAAATTTTGCGAAGAGGCTGTTAATAGATCCAAATCCATATCCTATTCTGTTACTGTTCAAGAATGAAAGTTCCTCTTCTTGTTGAACTCCACTAATCCCTCTCTGTGTTGGCCCCAATTTTTTTTTTCTAAATAATATATGTAACATTTTGATGTTAGCCCTTTCTACTTTTGTTTCTATTGTTAGATATTTGCAATCACATGCCATAAATGGAGATGATCTTATTTCTGCTATCAAAGAAAAAGGCAATCAAACATTTTTTAATATTGAAGAACAGATGGGATCTTTGAAAAAAAAAAAGGGAGAGTCAAGTGATGAGTTTTATTTGGCATTCAAATCTGAACCCTACAATTTAATCTAAAGGTTTATAATAAACCCTCTCACTCTCACATAAAAAGGTTATTCTCACTAGATATGTTCCCTATACATACATATATCAACTTAAAAAACAAAATGAGCCAGAGTTTTGTCTAGAATAGATAATTAAAAAATAATAATACAAGCCAATAATCACCCCAACAGAGAACAAACTATTAATTCACTTGACAGACCAAAATATAATTGGAAAGTTGCAATTTTCATCTCTGCAGCTTCTACACAGTTTTATGTTCCGATGAGGAAAAGAAAATGAGAGGGAAGAAAATAGAAAAAATGAGTAGATTTTTTATATGGGATTGGATTCTCTAACTTTCAATTCTTTACCTTTCTCTAACTTTCCCTCTTATGATTTACTTTCTCTCACATCTTTTTCCCTCCAAAATATATATCATCCTTCCTTTGTCTTATTCATTATTTTGCCTAAAGTAACTCTACCTTTCCCTCCATAAAGGTAGAGGATCCTTACCCGGTTGTATGATGTTTGTCTGAGACAAGCATAGGTTTCCGTTAGTGATAGCTCTGATTATAAAGGCAGAAAACAATGAAAAAAATTTGGTACTGATTGAAATGGACTGAATGAAGAATTTGAGGATCAAATATAAGCATTTACAAGTTAAAATGTGTGGAAAATAAAACTAGTTAATGGAAGCAAGTTTTGATAAAAGTCTACAATGCCCTTGGATTCACTTCCCTCCATTAAACATTTTTTTATCAAAAGGGGAAAAAAAATAATTACACGCATATTTCATTATTTCTTTCAATTTTCCTTCCATCTATCTATCCAAACAAATAGAGAGGAATTTATTATTCTTTATGTTTTCTACCTTTATGGAGGGAAAGGTAGAGTGACTTTAGGCAAAATAATAAATAAGACAAAGGAAGGATGATATATATTTTGGAGAGAAAAAGATGTGAGAGAAAGTAAATCATGAGAGAGATAGAGAGAAAGTTAGAGAAAGGTAGAGAATTGAAAGTTAGAGAATCCAATCCCCTTACAACCATACCCGGTGAATTACCACCTATATCAGCAGATGGTGCCCAGAGAATAAAAGGGAGAGGGATCAGAAAAAATAGCCAGTCAATTAGCATTAAATTAAATTGACTATAATCATTTAAAATAGCCAGTCAATTAGCATTAAATTGACTACAGACATTTAAATTGACTATGGTTTGGTCTAGGATTTTAAAACACATAAACCAAATACAGTAAACCCCAGGGGTTGGCCTTTTGGTGAAAGTTTGGGGTGTGAGAGTGTGCGACTCACAAGGTCTCATATTAAAATCCCGCTAAGTGCTAACAATCCCTATCTTGGGCTAGTCCATATAGAGCTTTCCTCTGCCTTTAAATGGGTCTCTCGCAAATGGACAATGGGATTGGTCCCCTTGGGTTAGCCGGTCACAAGGCCGGATACCAAGCTTTAAAAAAAACATGAACCAAATAAAGTGAATAATTTGAATACTAGAATTGAGCGACTTACTTCTTTGTTGTTGGGGTCTATTGCATTGAGCATTTCCGCGAGAACGTCCATTATACCATGTGCATTCTGTATTTCGGTCAAACTGAAAGAAATACAAAATAAACCACAAAAAAGCATAAATTTATGTGGCAATCTGTACAACAAATAACTTTCATCATTATAACTATACCGATAGAGGTGCCTACTGAAAGTACAATATGCTCATTGCATATTAAATAAAAGTTACTTTTATATTACATGGAGATTTATACAGCTTAACTCCTTAGATTTGAAAAATCAGTGCATTCACAGTTAAAAAGACATTGATGATGGGTATCAAAGACTAGCATTTTTCACACATCCTCTAAAGACAAAAGAGGGCGATGAATTAAAAGAATAAGTAGAACAAAAATAATGGAAATATATGATATGTTTACAACACAGAAAATATGCCCTTGTAATAGATATGATCATGAACTTATGGGCTATAATCCAGATGAAACTAGAAATATAGAGAACCATGATGTCGGACATAAAAATAATCCAAAGACTGAACTAGTTAGTGTTGGGCACAACAATAATCCATATGCAGACTAAATATTAATAAAATTGAAGTCAACAACCACATTTTAGATAACAAAGAAAAAGAATTAGAAATGTACCTTAGTGTCGGAAATTCTGACTCTGCAGATGTCTCAGCTGTGTCCGGCTGACCATCCATGCCACGTACATTTGGAGGGTATGAAGCCAACGGTTGTGTTTGTGGAGGAGTAAATACAGGTGCAGACTGCTCAGATCTCTGAGGAAATACTGCCCCAGCACGCTGAAATAAGCAAATCATTTGCATTAATAAATAAAATAAACAAATAACTAAATTTAAAAAGGGTCATGTATATATCCTAAGAATAACAAATCACACTCAAAACCCATATACATGCGATCATAAACAATTGTGTCTGGCCTTCAAACAAAAAATGTTAAATGTTGATTTTTCTCTTGAACTGTTTTTTTTTTTTTTAAATTTTCGCAATGCCAAGTAAAAAGGAATATTTGGAAACTATGTAAAAATAAGTAGTAAACATTACCAACAGTTCCTGGTATGCAGCATAATATTGTGGATATCTTGCCCTTGGTCCTCCAAAAGCTTCTTGCCAAGTATCTATAAGAACCAATATCTTCTCTCTGACTTGAAAATCAGGCTACAATTGGCATGAAAAACAATATCAACACATTTTACAATATGAAAGTAGAAATAACAAACAACATAAGGAAACCGTTAAAAGATCTGAGAAATTACCCATACCTTTTTCTTTACTATTCTCACCATCTCATGAAGCACATTTTTCTCTGCAACATGCATGTGAACAATATCCCCACAGTTCTTTATGATTGTCTCCAGCAACTAGAATACAGAAGACCAACAGGAAAACAAATGAGTTTTTCTGAATATCGAATGCATAGACATGTCAGATGTAACCACTATAGAGAATGCTTCCTAGCTGAACTCAATTAAGAAGGTACTAGTGTACTCCAACGGTTTAGCTAATTTGAACAAACAGTGACCAGCGAATGTGTAATTTTAAGGCTATGATTTGGTAGATGGAGCAGTTGGGATAGCACCTATAAGAAAGATAGTCAAATCTCGACTAGATGCTTTTGAGGTGTGGAGGAAAGCTGTAGATTCCGTAATAAGGAGAGCAAATAAGATGGAAGATTATTATGGTGTTGTTTGATCCACATACTCAACCCCGCTAGGCGGGTGTTTGATCCACTTGGTCTCTAATCTTTCACAAGGAGGGTAGATTTTCACGAAAATTGTCATTAACTTCAGCATATTAAAAATCTTACCAATTGATTAATGGATGGTAGATGTCGTGAACAATCTCTAAGGTTTGACAAAGTAACGATTATTTTACTAATGGAAGTCTTTTCTTATTTCAAAAAGCAATCACCCTCATTTTTCCTGAGGGTCTCGTAGCACAGCCTTTTATGTAACTACACCGAGGTTTTCATTTGAAGCTTATACAGTCTACGTAGAACTAACTACGGCGAAACTGAACACCACTAGGATGGTAGTGTCACACTTGAAAGATTAAAGAAACTTCCTCCAACTCCAAGTTTTTATTAAAAACTAATATTAATGACCCAACCATTTAGAGCCTATCAATTGTAATGACCCAATTAACATTGCAAACCGAAAATAAATACAGGAATAAATTCATATATATGGCGCTCCTTCACTTACAGTCAATGCAAGGAGTTGAGCTTTAGAATGTCTACTTCCAATCCGCTTCTTTATACCTTTGACAACGTCCTTTGCTTGCCTAATAAGCATAACCAAACAGAGTTCTCAATATATGAAAATACAAACCAAGAGCAAACCCCAAAAATCAATCATCAAATTTCAAATTTCAAATTCCACTTTACAACTTAGCTGAAGTTTCAATCGAAAAACCTCAAATATCGTTCGCAATTTTTTTTCCAAAAGCAGTATAAAAAAATCGATGGAAAAAGGAATACATACCCAGGATCATGATTGAGCATGTCACAGATCTCAATATTCATGGCCCAATCGGGACCGATGAGCATATCGCTCGTGGCGCGTTCAACCATGGAATTCACCATCTCCGGTCACCGATTCGAAACGGGATTGGATCGGTTATTTTCCGGCGACCGTAAACCGAACCACCGAGACGATCGGATAATGGTTCCGGAGATTGATTTTTCTGTATGCGAAGGAAGATCGGTGATTCTGTTGATGGAAAGGTTTTGAGGGTTAGAGTTGGAACTTTGAAGCGAACAAAACAAGGATCTCGTAAAGAGAACGTGACACGTGTCTAGTTAGTTGTGACTAGTAACTGATGCCGTTGGTTTTGAAGACCACTTTTTGATCAACAGTGTTTGGGGCACCAAGAGAGGTTAAATAACTCACTTAAGATATATAGAATATAGTTATGGGTGTTGGGCGATCCAAATCGATTGGTTTTGATATAAAAAAATCATTTGAATTATATGAGAAAAAGTGTGTGGTTCGATTTGGTTTGATTAGTTTTAAAAATCAAATCAAATCAAATTAATGCACTTTGTGTTAGTTTTATTTTTTATAAAAAAAATTATTGAGTCATATATACACATATAGATGACAACATAATTTTGTATTTAGTCATTTATATATATTATCAAATAACAATAGAATTCATCATATTTAGACAATAAATTTCTATTTGATATACAAAAATATGATTAGAGAAAAGTGGAATAAAAAACATAAAATAATAACATAAAACAATATCAAAATATTATAATGAAACAGGAAAAAATAGAGGAGATAAAAGAACAGAGAAGATGAAAAAGAAAGAGCATAAGAGAGGAAATATTAAAGAAGAAGATGTGCATTAAAAATATAATTGGAAGAGATAACAATAGAATAAAAATAAGAAGATGAAAAAGAAAGAACGTAAGATATGAGACACTAGAGAAGAAGAGGCAAGATGTACATGGAAAGAAGATGAGAAGAAGATGTGATACCGCTAGAAGAGATTTTAGAAGACTTAAATTGAAACCTTAAGTGTGAGAAAGAAAAAATCATTCATAATTTTAAGATTAAGGCATAATAGGTTTGTGTTTGAGTTGGATGCGGGTTAAGTGAAGTTTGAGTTTAACATGTTTAGGAAAGTTTTTGTTTCGATTAGCTTTAGAGTTTATCCCTTGTTTGTTTACCCGGTCATGCTACAACCTTGAAAAGCCCTTTTAATTCTTGCTTTTATGTCTTCAACATAATTTTTGGATAAGTATATAATTTAATCTTTCATTTGTAAGGTTGTTGGATGAGTGAAAATCTCTCATTTTATGTGTTTTACATCTACCGATGATAAGTTTTGCTAGGTGTGATTCACGGTTGAACTTGTGTTGTTTTAGAATGTTTGGCATGATTTTTGTATTTAGCATTTGTTTCGTGTTTATGTTATAGTCGTCGTTTAGTGGTAAGTGTTTACTTTGTGTGTACTGTTTTTCATTTGAACCATTGCATTTGTTTCCCGTTTTCAAAACTTGTTGATTCGTGATTCTTTGGTTGATCATTTTTGTTCTTTGATTTGTTTGTTTCTTGTTTAGGGACAAGCAAGTTCAAGTTGGGGAGAGTTTGATAAGTGAAAATTGTAGCTATTTTTGTATATACTTTTTGTTGTATTTATCGACTCTTTGTTGTTAATTTCGCTTGAATAACCCGACTTTTGTGTAAATATGTATACTTAGTGTATAATTGTATTTATGATTCATTTAGGTATCGTTTGATAGTTTTAATGTATTTTTGTAGGTATTTTCGCGTATTTGGAGCATCGAGAAATAAGGTGTAGAAGGCACGACTCTAGATAAGCATTTTTGGAAGAAATAAAGAAAATAAGTGTTGCAGACGGAGCTAAGCGCGGTGTGTGCGTGCTTAGCGTGTCCTGGGAGCTGAAGAGCAAAATTTTGGCAGAGGCGAGCACGCTTAGCGCGCTATTTGACGCTTAGTGCGCTCTAAGGCGGTTTAGTGAATAAATGAAGGCGCGGTTAGTGTATTATTTGGCGCTTAGCGCGATCTACGATTTTCAAATTTTGTATAAATAACTTATAACAGATTTTTTGGGTTTTTTATCATCTATTTCCCTCATGGAGGAGCTCTAATCCGATTTTCTGTAGTTTAGAGATTTACCCAACATCATTGGGTGGTGCATCTTGTCGATTGGTTATGGATTATCTCGGATCGTGTTGACACCGCGAGAAGTTTCCTATTCATCTCTTTCATCCCTATGTATCATTACAATGGTGGTTTTTGTATGTATATCATTACTCTTTATGTACATACATTTGTTGATAATGAGATTGTATGAAATCTCTTTTACAAATTAGTATCAGTGTTTGTTCTTGATTTTTGCTTTATCGTGGAGTTTTGGTTTTTCGTAGACACGTGCTTTCTGAATCTCTTTCTTAAATGGATATTTATTAGCTCATAGATTCTAGACATAAATTTAGGCTTAATATTCATGTGGATATCGGTTATGAAATGCATTCAGATTATTTGAGTTGCGCGCAAAATCACCTCTGAGAGCAATACGAGTGATGTCTCACTTTGTGTTAGAAATAGCCTTAGTGTGAGCAATTCGTGATGGTATTAATGAGTGATTTAGGTTGAGTTCAATTGATCAGCGAATTTAAGTATTTGACAGGTAGAGTGAAATGCGATTCCAGAATTAATTCTCTTATGTTGTTGAAGATTGTTTACCGCTTTCTTTATTGCTTTATTTTCTTTTCTTGCACTTTTTTCGTATACCCCTTTTCCAAACTTAGAAGGACTGAAACTGTTGAATGATAGTTTTTTCCTCTCACTAATCCCTGTGGAGACGATATGATATACCCTATAAAATACTTACTTTTTCTTGCCGTTTTACCGCTTCACCAAAGGTACACAAGAAAGGTGTTGAATTTGGAAGGAAGAATATGGTGGCAAGAGAGCCTTATACTCAATGGGTTTTGGAGAGGGTTCAAATAGTCAAACTACCATTTGACATTGATCCTACATACATACCAGACATGCCAGATCTTCTTCCAATGTCATTAGAGGAAATAAAAGAGCTGAAGAATGCCCTTGAACAAGCTCAAGGGGACAAGGAGAATTTGAAGCATGACCTTTACAACCTTGCTATGGAGAAAAATCAGTTGCAACAAGAACTTGTGCAAAAATACCAACAAATTCAGAACGACCGTGGATTGGTCGAAAAAGAAAGGTCTAAAGAAAGCATTCAATTGAGGGGATGCTAAGTGCTACTTTTAATCTCGATTCTCACAATCAATGGTTAGATGATGCTGCTAGGGAAATTGCAAGGCTGAAGAAATGGTATGACAAAGCATTACATGACAAAAGAGAATTGGAAGAAGATCTGAGAGCTCAAATTCAAGGATTAGCATAAGATGCCCTATATTTGGAGGAGTAAATCCAAATCCTTCTCACAAGCCTCCAAGAGAGCCAAGAAGAAGAGGAGAGAGAATGCCTTAGAAAAATGAGGGCAAAAGAACCTCTCTCTCAAAAGGTGGAGGAATATGAACAACTCTACCAAGAATTAGAAGCCCTCTGAAAAGATTTCCTTATACAAAGGGAACTTTATAAGGATATGAGAGTTGAAAAGAGATATTCGGAAGTGCAATATGTAAAGATAGCTCAAGCGGGAGAAGATAATAAGATCATAATCCTGATACTATACAAGGAGTATCTGAGATACAAAGACAGGAATGTAAAGCTTGCTTTCCTAGAAAACAATCTCATTGGTGACATTCCTAGAAGCTTGAGAGATGCAAAAGTCGTGATGGTCCCTCTTTCAAAGGATGTTGAAGACTTCCTTAAGCTTTGTAGGGAGATGGTTGATGGTTTTAAGGCAGCTATCCACAAGCGCACTTAAGAGATTTTAGTTTTCCTTTGGTTATTTCTTTCAGCATTTGACATTGGATCCAATATTTCTCTTTAAGTATTTTTCCTTCAGTATTTGTTTCAGTATTTGGATTGTATTTCCCTTTTGCAAGGATGATAGTTATTATTCAATAAAGTACTCTTGTTTAAATATTCCACCTACGTATTTAATATTTGAGATACTCACCAACAAAAAAGAGTAAAACCTAAAAAGAAGAATATATATATATATATATATATATATATATATATATATATATATATATATATATATATATATATATATATATATATATATATATATATATATATATATATATATATATATATAAAATAATAATAATAATAATAATAAAAGTAACAAAAAGGAATCCAAGTGAATAAGACATTCGAATAAATTTTTAGCATATTCATGCGCATTCATCCAAGCATAGACATCATATTTAGCAGTTTCATACAAAAAAACTCATCTTTTTCATATCATCTCCAGTTAAATCATTGGGAAAGCCACACTACCTTCCCGACCTCCATATCAAACAAGAGCTCATCAAAAGAAAGTAATGGAGAAAATCAAAGAGAACCAAGCTGCCTTTCAAGAAGACTTGGAACAAGTGAAAGGAAGCATCAACTTGATGAAAGGAGACATGAGTCAAGTTCTACTAGCCTTGAAGAATATCATAGAAAGATAAGATCATATTCCTAAAGTTTCCTTTGAAGAAGTAGCCCAAACTATTGGTGCGTCAAGCAGTCATCAACCAAGACATTAGACAAAATTTGGTCTTGTAAAGTCGAAGTATATGGATCCTCGGCATTAGTCATATACCAAGTCAATGGTGAATGAGACACCCGAAATCCCAAACTAATTCTATATCGGGATCATGTTTTGAAGTTTGCTACAAAGTTCACTGAGATTACTTTCACTCATATTCCGCGAGAAGAAAATCAGATGGCAGATGCCTTGGCAACTTTGTCAGCCATGTTTAAGGTGACTTGGCCAAATCATAAACCACGCATCATGATCAGACATTTTAAAGAGCCAGCACATTGCCTCGTAGTTGAATAAGGACCTAATAATAAACCTTGGTTTAGCGCTATCAAAAGATATCTAGAAAAGTAAGAATATTTATAAGGTGCCTCAATTATTAACAAGCGAACTCTATGAAAATCTAGTTGTAAAGTTCTT